CGTTTATGGTAAAATTTTGGAAAATGGGCGTGGCACCGCCCACTTATGATCACATATAAGTATATCAGTAACCGTTCTACCAATTTGTACCAAACTCGGTATGGTTATTGTACTTGCCACGTGTAAGCAAAACGTTGAAAATTATTGAAATCGGACTAAAATAACGGCCGCTTCTCATATAACGGTAAATTTCAGAAATGCTTGAAACTTCAATATTTCGAAATTGAAGGACGCCAATTTACTCAAAATTGATACACCCCGGCTTACCATCTAGCGGAAGGTTTCGGAAAGGTGAAAAAACATATATTTAATACTTGCTTGGGCTCCGCCCGAACTTAGACTTTCTTACATGTTTTTTTTAATTTTTTATGTTATGGAGAAAATTTTCGAAACAGTATTTCTAAAAAATGTGTTCATACTTTTAATATGAAATGTTTACTTCCGAAAAAGGCCTGGCCGAAACATAGCCACTCTGACGTGTTGACTTATATGCGAAATAATGTCTGTGAGACATTTTGGCCAGTTTCAGTTTTAATTGACTTTATATAAAAGTCCAACTCATAATTTAACAAACAGCATATATGTACACAAATCGACAATTCAAACTTTGTACAAAAATTATAAAAATTAGCAGGATTTCTCAACAAAAAACTTTTGATTCCGAGTTTTTAGAAAGATTCCAAGTTAACAAATTTACGCATTTTTTCCAATACAAAGTGTGTTTGAAAGTTTTGTAAATGGATGAAAACATATGACACCGTCAGCAAAAAAAAATAACATAAAAAATCAACGGGATTTTGCAGATATTTGCAATTTTATTTAATGTCAATTAAAAGTTTGTTGCGAAAACTTACTTTTAGTGCTGCGTATTTACAATAGAATTCAGCCTTTTATCAAGAGCTGTCACTCAATATTCTCAAGGCCCTTATTTTAATTTTTTAGAGCTTTTAATTTTCACTTTTTGTAATTTTTTAATCTATAATATAGTATGTGATTTTTTGTTACACATTTACATATTATGCTAAGTTTCTGTAATTTCTGATTGTGCGAAACAGGATAAAATGTGCCAAAAGTGCCTCTGAGAAGGAAAGTACCAAAAATGGCACTATTGTGCCTACTTCTCCATCACTGACCATAATTATGTAGGAATTTCTTCGTCTACAGTGCAGTATTTTCATTTTCCAGTCAGAGGTCTTGGCATTGGGTTAGACAAAATTTTTTAGTTTTTCATTAGTTGAAAAATTGGCAAAAAATTTATTAGATTATCCGAGTAGACTTGGGAGTTGCGAAATGAGTGGCAGTTTAAAAAAATTAGGAAAATCAATACGGGTTTTTGGAAATCAACATTTTATTGTTGTCATAGTAATACGAATTTGAAAATTTTTTGAGATATAAAAAATGTTGTTTCGAAAATGAAATTTAAAAAAATGGTAAGTTTTATTTTCAAAACTCGATATCTTGAAAACTGCTGCAAAAAAAAACAGGGAGGACCCCTTCAGTTATGAAAACCATCGGAGATGCAAAACCCAAATGGTGTTCGTTTTGGGCTGGAATGCCCCATAAACTCTACAACCTTTCTTACCAAGCATGAAATTTAATATCATTTTATTTTAAGTTATTTTTTAACATTTGTCCTGTTGAGAATGTTTCCTTTCGTTGCGTACTTTCCTGTGTCTTTAATACAAAAATTCATCTTTACTATATGTACATATGTGTATAAATTTATCCACTGTAAATCAAGCCCATGTTTCAAGTGCTAGACAGATATATAACCTCTCTATTATTTTATGGTTTTCTTTGAAATTCTTATTGCGAGTCAATACTCTTTGAAAGGCCACTGATAATATTTCTGTGAACTCTTATCTGACATAAAGTGATTCGATGATGAAATAATGTAAAGAAAAATTGTGTAGAAGGAAGTAAAATTATGATTTTATGGGAAAGTAAGTTATCCAATAGGATTTACTTAATTTTACGCTTGTATTATATTTGTACACATATTATTATCTATATTTTTATGTATTTACATGTAAATCCATTTTTGAGAAATTTAGTTATTTTTATTTATATATTTTTATTTTATACCTTTGTAGCTTAGTCAAGTTTTATCTAAACTTCAATAATACCTAAAACCCTCCTTCCAGTTAATTTTAATGCCAATTCAAGTCATCGCGATTATCTAATTAAATTACATAGCTAAAAGCCATCTGCAAAAAAAAACTCCCTTTCCGCGGTTGGGAACTTTAAAATTCGCAAACTCTCACATTTTTCGCTTTTCATTTTCATGCTTCAATTAACGCAAAAGTTTTTCAGTGTAAGCCCAGAGCGCGAAAAGATACATTGAATTCGTATCACATAAATTTTTTTTTTTTTACGGATGACTTAACAAAGACATTGCAGAGTCAGCAAAGAGACTAAAATAAAATTGTTTTTTTTTCATTTTATTATCGATTTGTTTTTTTTTTTTTTATTCCCAAAACGTTGCTTGCTATGTTTGAAAGCAGCTGCTGCTTTTGGTGGCACCAATTCATTTTCTTGCCTCCATCCAGCTGAACGCGGTTTCGGCTCGACATATCGCATCCGATCTTCAAACGTGACACAACTCAAAAATACACGTTCGTCAGAAAATGCGAGAAACTACATATTTCGTAGCACATGCTAACCAAACGGGCAAGGGAGACTTTACCTTATATTTTTTCGACAAAAGATAACAAAAGTTCACTCCAGCTTTTGTTTAAAAGTAAATAAAAGCTCTGCATATCTATTTTTATGCATCATTTCAAAAATGTAAAATTGTGAGTTGTGTCACTTTTGAAGATCGTGTGCGATATGTACAAGTATATACTTGCACATACATTTAGAAGTAAAAAAAAAAAAAAGAAAACAAATTTTCACCACCAAACGCTCGTACTATTGGCTTTTATGTGTGAGAAATGC